TTTAAAGATGTTTTGTTTTAGTTGAATAAATGTCTGTTGGAGTGATAGCATGGAAGATGCACAACTTTATATTTGTATAAAACTATTGTTTACAAAGCAAAAAAAAAATTGGGATGGGGCTGCAGGCAGAACCATAAGCCCTTTCACATTTCATCTGTGTCAACCCAGGTGACTTTTCCTCCACTTTATTTCATATAGATCAAAAGTGGGAGGTGAGGTGGTATAAATTCACTAAAACTTACCAACACTACACTTAAAATAGGTGAACGGTGGTATTATGTAGATTGTACCCTTAGTAAGTAGGTGTGGTAGTGCACACCTATAATCCCAGCTTCTCAGAAAGTGGAGGCAGGAGGGTTATAAGTTCAGTCTCAGCAACTCAGTGAGACCTTAAGCAACTTAGCAAGACCCCGTCTCAAAATGTAATAAAATTTTTAAAGAGCTGGATGAGGATTTGTGGTAGAACTGTGCAAGGTTCCGGGTTCAATCCCTAGCACTAAAAAAAGGAGAAGAAGAAAAAGAAAACAGTAGATGTGAAAACCTTCTCTTCTGCCCCCACCCCTGTTTTATTGCTTCTAACTCCAATCAGGAAGTTACAGCTGTTCAACATGTAGAGTAACTGTTTTGTCAAGTGCGTTTGTTGCCATCTCCCCACTCTGCTTTAGAGAGTGGAGGTGACAGGAGTGGGAAGTGGGGGTTGAATTGCTCTCAGACTTCCCCTTCAGTGAGCTCCAGCTTCCCACACACCTGGGCTGCTGATCAATAAGCCCAGAGTTCTGAGAGGTCCAAAGTGAGCCTACTGATGCAGAACTCATAGCGGAAACATGACCTTGCCAGGTCCACGTGGCTCGTTCTGCTGCCACCTGGCAGTGGCCTCTCTGACTCAGCTGTAGCGGAACCAGACACAGCCACAAAGAAGGCTGGCAGCTGACCTGCTGCAGCCAGCACTCCTCCAGCCAGGCCTGCTGTCCTTCACACGACTGCCAAGTGGGACCTCTGTCCTCTACGGCCTTTCCCTGAAGTAAAAGAGAACACCTCAGAAGCTCAGAAGCCAAGAGTTGCCATGATCTGTCCCCTCCTGGCTCCCCAAAGCACCCAGACTCTTTTAGGCACTGCACTCTTTCTAAATTTTCTTCTTACATATCTGGATTTTTCCTTCCTATAAAGACTAATTGATTTAATTTTTCAAAATTATACCAGGGATTAAATCCCAGGGGACTTAACCACTGAGTCACATTTCCAGCCCTTTTTATATTTTTTATTTTGAGATAGGATCTCACTGAGAGCCTCACTAAGTCACTGAGTCTGGCTTTGAACTTGGACTCTTCCTGCCTCAGCCTCCCAAGCCACTGAGATTACAGGTGTGACCCTCTGCACCTGGCTAAATTTTATTTTAATTTAAATCAAAGATAGCAGTACAGGTTCCCTTAAGAACAGTGTTTCAGATACTCTCCAAGAGAGCTCTGCTGCACATGTACAGTTATTGAGTCAGAAAAAAGGGTGTTAAGTGGCCATGGTTTCAAACTGGAATTAGGGTCTATGAGAAAAAGAAGAAGGAATTTGCCCAAGTAGTGCAAGGAAAGCCAAGTGCACATAGTGAGGGTGGAAGGAAAAAAGTAAAGGGAAAAAGAGCTGAATATTTAGTGGGAAAGCAAATCTTTTTTTTTTTTTAATATTTATTTTTTAGTTCTCGGCGGACACAACATCTTTGTTTGTATGTGGTGCTGAGGATCGAACCCAGGCCACACGCATGCCAGGCGAGCGTGCTACCGCTTGAGCCACATCCCCAGCCCCGGGAAAGCAAATCTTTATCGTGAGAGGTTGCTCAGAAGCAGGTCAACAATGGGAAAATATAAGTGACTTGTCATTTTTCCAGGGCCACAGAGACTGCATTAATGGGTTAAAGATGCTAGGTAAAAAACTGAAAACCAAGTGGAATAGCTAATGTGCCTGTGGGCACGCCCCCACAAACACACACACACACACACACACACACATACAGGACTCTTTCCCCTTTTTCATCCCATCTACAATGACTCTAAAGAGAAAACTTCATTTTGGCTGCAGTGTGTCTCTCTTCTCCCCTACTATCCCACCTCCCCTCCCCTCCTTGGACATGCTTTTGGTCCTCCTGCCCTCTTGCTTTCAGGATGGGGTCACCTTCCCAAGCCCATAGCCCTGATCTAGCCCCCTTCCCACAGTGGGCCACTGGGCTGCTGCACCTGTGCTGGGGAGGCAGCCATACAGGCGCCTCTGGGGTGGCTCATCCAGAAGAGGTACAGATGGCTCCATAGGGACAGCAGGAAATCAGGCCACAGCTGCTCCCTGTCTGCCCTGGGGTCCACTCCCTGCCCCCACAATCGTGGGCTCTTGGTCATGTGCTTCCCCATCTGCAGGGAGGGAGTCACACAGGAAGAGTGACTTCCTTGAGCTGTGCACCCCTTTCACACTAAGGACTGACTCCGGGCTGTGCTGAAGGAGCATTTCCTTGGCTAGGTGCTCACACAATGACACCATTTCATCCCCGTGGACCATTTTATAAAGGAAATGAGGCAAAGAAAGGCAGCTGTGATTAGCCCAGCATTATACAGCAAGCAAAAGGCAGAACCAAGATTTAAACTGAGAATTTAAATGGGCCTCACATTGGACCAGGCTGCCTTTGACAGCTGGGGTGGACAGGTCAGGGTATAGGGGAGAGGCAATGCAGGGGGCAGGTGGAAAAAGCCACTGAGATGGAACCTGTGGAGGTGGCGGTGCTCATGGGACTCTCACATCCACTGTAGCTTTCCCCATGGAAAGGTCAGGATTAGGATTCCAAAGGAATTTTTTTAAAAAAATGCTTCTTTACCCAAAAGCTCTGGATCCCATATTACTGCAGCTGCAGGAGGAGTGGAAGCCACTGCTGAGCTTCTCCCATCTCCACCAGGTTCTTCCCTCATTTCAGCAACTTTTTCTCACCAGGCCCCAAATGGAGATTTGCTAGTTACCAGGAAGAATCTAAGAAAGGGAAAAGACTACAAATCGAGGCTCTAGAGGAAGGCGCTTCAGCTTGATACCAAGACACTCGTCCTGGATTTTAGCTGGACATGATAGTCTTTCCCAGACAGCATGTGTGGTGTTGGGGTTAAGAGTATGGACACTTGTGCAAGATTGCCGAGACCCAGATACCCATTCCACTTAACCAGCTGTGTGACTTTGGAAAACTTACCTTAGTTTTCCCAAATGTAAAATGAAAATAATAGTAGCTATCTTCCAGAGTTAGTGTCAGGATAAAATGAATTAATACAGGGAACTGATCAATTTGCATAGGAAACAGACTTAATCTGATTGAAATATAGAGAATGTCTACCATGACATCTGCCTCTATAATGTACCTTAGGATACAGAGGGGCTGATTAGACACACTGGCCTGAGAGCATCGGGATCTTTGGCTTATGTCCTGCCCAGTTGTTCTCATAGGAAGGTGAGACTCAACAGGGCACTTACCTCCTTTGCATCTTAGTTTCCCAACCATAAACTAGAGGAACTGAAATATAAAATTTCCATTGTTGGCGAGGATGTGAGTCCAGCATGGTCATACTGCCCAAGTGGGTTTGGGCTGGGTGTAACAGCAAAAATACTAAAAACAACATTGAACGTTCTGGGTTTTATCTATGTGTCCATCAGTTCCTGTCTAAGCATTTGATATGTTTTAACTCATTTAATCTCAACATTACTTTATGGAGTATTCTAGTATTATCTTCACTTCACAGATGAAGAAACTAAGACACCAAGAGGTGAAAAAACTGTTTTAATGTCACAAAGCCAGTAGGAAGCAAAGCAAGATTGGAAGTTGAACACTCTGGCTCCAGAGTTTGTCCTCTTAACTACGATTTGCTCTTCCTCTAGGAATTACACTCAGTTGCTAATAACACAATATAAGTAAGAATGACTTAAATAAGAAACTTATTTTTCTCTCACATACAATAAGGCCAGAGATCAACACAGAGCTGTGTAATGGCCTTATACAGTCATCAGAGCCCCTGGCTCTCTCCATTCTTCTGTCCTGCTATCCTGGGAATAGCACACTTATTCTGATGGTCGTGATTGGGCTGCTAGGGAGTAGAAATGAAATTTTTTCAAAAAATTTTTAAATGCTCTTTAAAAATTGTTCAAGTGATTTCATCTTGTATCTCATCAGCCATGCCTACCTGAAAGGGAGGCTAGGAAACAGAACTTTCCAGATGGGTACTTTTCCTGGAGTTTGGTTACTAATCAAGAGAGGGAATGGGAAATAGGAAAGCAACTAGCAACATTTTGCCACATGGAGGGCAGATGCCTGGGCTGTGCTGAAAGAGCATTACAGAAGAAAGGGGCAAGAGAGAGCCAGTGACCACCCTCTCTGTAGGAGACCGCTGACTCCTTGTATGGTGACCCCAGACAGTTGGGAACCACCTTATGGGGGGACCAACTTGCTTCCCTTTCCAGTCCCCACCAGCTTGGCTTCTATAGGACTGTGACAGCTGGAAA